TACTGGTTTTCGCAATATAAAATTTCATTTTATGAAATGGGGAGTATACATTATACTTGAGGGTACACAATTTGCACCTTTTTTTGACCGTTTTCCCCCCTGTAATTATTAAAAAAGCAGATATAAGTTTCCATTCTTTGTTTATATTGTAGATGTATCCTTATTTATTATTTAGCTCCACAAATTTATTTTTGTGTATGTTGCATGCAATGTTTTCATAAATTTTACTTTTGTCACTGGTGACTTCATCTGTTGATAACAGGGTATTAAATGATTTTAGAATAATTTGGGTAAATTTGTCAGATATATAATGTGACCCTTTTGTATATCGTTAAGAATATTTAGCTATGTTGAAATATGTGCATAATGATAAATGTTAGAAAAACAAATTGTTTCGTCTCTAAGAAAACCTAACATATCCATCACTTTTTATGCAAAATTGGTGCAAATTGGGTACTCTGTGCAATTTGGGTACTATTACGTTATCTTTGCTTGATTTAAATAAATTATAAAACCAAGAAAAGCAAAGATTATTGGAATAACACGTGAAAAGCCAGGATTTTGATAAAGGAGGGTCCCCTGGCAAGCCAACATTTGGAGTGATACTTGTAAAAAGTCTATGCATTTATCATATATGAAGCTCCATAAAGGGGACCTGGCCCCCTGCCCCCTTAATCCTCCTCTGGGGAAGACAGTGTAATATTCTGAAGGGGGACAGAGGGCAGGAGGATTTTGTTGTTTTTTGAACTATTGTCGAGCCTGCGACTTTTGTCGCAGAAAGCTCGACATAGGGATAGTGATCCGGCGGCGGCGGCGGCGTTAGCTAACTTCTTAAAAGCTTTATATTTTAGAAGGTGGAAGGTCTGGATGCTTCATACTTTGTATATGGATGCCTCATGTTACGAAGTTTCCGTCAGTCACATGTCCAATGTCCTTGACCTCATTTTCATGGTTCAGTGACTACTTGAAAAAAAAGTTAAGATTTTTTGTAATGTTAGATTCTTTCTTATTATAAGTAATAGGATAACTATATTTGGTATGTGCGTACCTTGCAAGGTCCTCATGCCCGTCAGACAGTTTTCACTTGACCTCGACCTCATTTCATGGATCAGTGAACAAGGTTAAGTTTTGGTGGTCAAGTCCATATCTCAGATACTATAAGCAATAGGTCTAGTATATTCGGTGTATGGAAGGACTGTAAGGTGTACATGTCCAACTGGCAGGTGTCATCTGACCTTGACCTCATTTTCATGGTTCAGTGGTTATAGTTAAGTTTTTGTGTTTTAGTCTGTTTTTCTTATACTGTATGCCATAGGTCTACTATATTTGGTGTATGGAATGATTGTAAGGTGTACATTTCTAGCGGGCAGGTGTCATCTGACCTTGACCTCATTTTCATGGTTCAGTGGTCAAAGTTAAGTTTTTGAGTTTTGGTCTTTTTTTCTAATACTATATGCAATAGTTCAACTATATTTGGTATGTGCGTACCTTGCAAGGTCCTCATGCCCGTCACACAGTTTTCACTTGACCTCGACCTCATTTCATGGATCAATGAACAAGGTTAAGTTTTGGTGGTCAAGTCCATATCTCAGATACTATAAGCAATAGGTCTAGTATATTTGGTGTATGGAAGGACTGTAAGGTGTACATGTCCAACTGGCAGGTGTCATCTGACCTTGACCTCATTTTCATGGTTCAGTGGTTATAGTTAAGTTTTTGTGTTTTAGTCTGTTTTTCTTATACTGTATGCCATAGGTCTACTATATTTGGTGTATGGAATGATTGTAAGGTGTACATGTCTAGCTGGCAGGTGTCTTCTGACCTTGACCTCATTTTCATGGTTCAGTGGTCAAAGTTAAGTTTTTGAGTTTTGGTCTTTTTTTCTAATACTATATGCAATAGGTCATCTATATTTGGTGTATGGAAATATTTTATGATGTACCTGTCAGTCTTGCAGGTTTTATTTGACCTTGACCTCATTTTCACGGTTCATTGCTCAGTGTTAAGTTTTTGTGTTTTGGTCTGTTTTTCTAATACTATAAGCAATAGGTCAACTATATTTGTTGTATGGAAGGATTGCAAGCTGTAGTACATGTCTGCCTGGCATTGTTCATCTGACCTTGACCTCATTTTCTTGGTTCATTGGTCAATGTTTAGTTTTCTTGGTTAAGTCTGTATCTTAGAAACTATAAACAATAGGTCAACTATATTTAGTGTATTGAATGATTGTAAGGTGTACATGTATTTCTTGTTTGGTTTATATGACCTTGACCTCATTTTCTTGGATCATGTTAAGTGTATGTGATAGTTGTAGTAAAGCTTTTATATTTAGGACTATCAACATAATATCAATGATTAGTAAAGAAGGCGAGACATTTCAGCGTGTGCACTCTTGTTTTGATTTCTTCAACTTGTCTAAGCCTTGCTGAATTCATCACTAATCACATCTAATATATTAGTAAACTATTCCCAAGGATTCCTTATCGGACTAGTTTATACCACATGTTTTAAATTGGTTAGTCAAATAATAAAATTAACCATTTACACCTCCAAAATGGCGGCCAAGGGAAATAACTAAACTCAAATTACAAAATTGCCATTTGCAGGAAATAATTGTGTTCAAAATAGAAAATGATATTTTGTGCCGCTTTGCAGTGCAAAAATAATAAGTGATCCTTGCAAATGGTGAAAATGAATATTCTGTCAGGAATATTCTCCTCCCCCTCCCCTTCCTTCTTACCACCCAAGAATATCTAATGGCTGTCCCATTACTAGTCCAAATAATATCAAGAAACTTAATGATAATAAGATGAAATACTCAACAGTGCAGCCAATCATTCTTTTTGAAGACCTATCTTTTACTAAAATTGAGACATCTATAACACAGTTATACATGTAGCTGAGACTCTACAGTCATGATAGTCTCAATCTGGAACCACCAGAGACAGATGCAACAACAACTTTGTGAAATCGTATGATATAATGTGGCCCACTTGATTTCATTAATATTGTTAAAATAATTAATACCTTCAATACTCTACTAAGAAATCATTTAGTAATTTTACTGTAATTCAACATATTTTGGCAGATACTTTATTTCGTGTTAAGACCTTTCTAGCTCATACTGCAGGATTTTATTTTGCGATTTTCAAATTAATTTGATGTAGTTAAGGCCAATTGAATTGATTAGTAGATTTTCATTCAGATTTTTTGAAAAAATTGGGGTGGGTGGTAGGATTTAATTTTTTAATTTTTGTTTCCTCCACAACCTCTTTTATAACGTGTTCTTAATATGCAAGGGTTTTAATAAGTTTATATCATGTATATATCAGTGATTCTACATTATTTATCAAATTCTTAAATAGATAATTCTGATTGGAAACCAATGTTCTTCATATAATTGTCACTTTAGAAACTTATTTTCAGTAAATGACAAAAACATGAAGAAATGCTTTCTTTTAGACTACCTTTATTATTCTGCTTTCTAAGTTTGTAGTGGCCATGAAATGAAGTATATGTATTGGTATGCAACACAAGTATTATGAGTACAGAGTGAAATGTGTTGAAAATTTTTGTACTAGGGTGATGCTTTTAGGATTCTTATGCAAGGTGCAAATATAATTACAATGTAAAACATGAACTTAACCAAAAAGAAGAAATTGTTTAATGACTCTAATGAGGGGCTGCGGACAGAGGATGTTTGCTGTTGTCAACAAAAAATGACAGCCTTGGGATAAATCTAAGGGCTTGCTATAATGCATTGTGTACGTTGGCCAACTTTTTGTACTCAATATATATACGGTTAATCATAAATCGCACAAGTTCGTGCTTTTGTCAATTTCTTTATTCCAGTCATGTTTTTTGTACCAATGTGTTCCAGGATTCTTGTGCTTTGAATATCATTCACAGTCCAAATTTCCTGACACAAAGTCAAAAAAATTCCACTGTTTTCTAATCACTGAAATTTGTAACATAACGTGATTTGCGTTCTTGGACATCACCGTTTACTCATAACTCGAATATTTTATCAATCTCTCTTCTCAAAAGATAATTTTTGCATCATACAACAGTAGAATATGTCAACTGAATTATTTTTGGTTAAATTACTGGAAGAAATACGAAAACTGAAAATTGCAACAGGAAGGTTTGAATGAAACAAAATCATCTGCGGTTACCGATAACAGAAATGAACAAAATCAAGAAATCATAAACTTTTAGAAATGAAAAAAATTTGAGGCGGAGAATTTCAGAGGATGAAAATTTTTATCTTTCAATTAATTTTAATTGGCCTTGACAAGAAGGAATTTTTACATAGTCTTAGAGATTTATATTCACGTTAACTTTCTGCTCTCAAAAGTGGCAAAAATATATTGCATGCAAAATTAGTTGGTTTACAGTATATTTAAATTTTTTATAACATCAAAGATCTATTTGTACTAGTCTATCAACAACAAAAAAAGAAATATCAACCATATTAACATCACCCTTTTTTCTGTGACCTTTTTTAATAGCATTTTGATATAACTTTTTTCAGTTTCGTTATTCATAAAATCTTTATTTCATTTCAAACTTTTTAAACCATATATCCACAACAGGTATACCGATGAAAAATCTACAGAGAGATCGAATCCTGAGCAGCAATTAAAGAAAAGTTTGTAATGGTAGGTAAAACCTGGATCTGATTCCCACGGAGCATAATTCCTCTGTGGGAATCAGATACAGATTTTACTTGCCCACCGTTACAAACTTTTCATTAATTGTTCCTCAGGAACCAGATCCTACTGCAGTTCATATCAGGATACCAGGTGTGATATCTGGAAGAAAAAAAATATAAGAATACATTTATAATTAAATGAGAAGGAATATGTCTGTACGTAAAAAGCAGTTTAACATTTTTTAAAAGAGATGTACATGATTTCAGTAGATTATGCAGCCATTCAATGGAGTTTAAATCTCTTGTTTTATACATATAAATTAAGTTTTAACCTTTTTGTACACAGGTGAAAAACACATAAATCCGAAGAAAGTATGCAGTGATGAATCTGTCTTGTGTCACGATGGTTTACAATGTGTGGAGAAGACCAAATTTTGTGATGGTCAAAATGACTGTGTCGATTTCTCAGATGAAATTTTTTGTGGTGAGTTATTTCCTGGATTTAATCTAAAATGCTCATTGCATATATTGACTATATAGAATGGAAAATAATCATACTGTGTTAGGTCAAATTTCCTATGACCAAGATCATATAAAAAATAAAATTCCAGATCCTTGCTTATGATCATCGACAACTCCAAATCAGTTCTATTAGGTCCGAGGACACAGTTATCGTCCTTTGATTTTTCGTTGTCTACGAATATAGTCTCTAGTGTGGACAGTGTGTAACTTGCAAATTTTGTTCATACACTTTCCAAATTGATTTCTTTATATTTTATGCATGAAATATTAAGTAGGGGGATGAAATTACTTGTTAAAAAAATTTGGGTGATGAATTTTTATGTAAAGTATACGTAGTGAAAAAAAGGTCAAAAATTAGTATGCCTGAAGCTGTCAAACTGAATTATAGACCCCCTCAACATAGAATTGTCCATATTTTGAGTTAGAGCTGGTAGACTTTTCTATAATTTTGATATTATTTGTCCCAAAAGTAGTACACGCTACACTGTAAAAATCTTTTTGAGATAGAGAAGGAACCATTTTTGTCGAGCCTGCGACTTTTGTCGCAGAAAGCTCGACATAGGGATAGCGATCCGGCGGCTACGGCGGCGGCGGCGGCGGCGGCGTTAGCTAACTTCTTAAAAGCTTTATATTTTAGAAGATGGAAGACCTGGATGCTTCATACTTTGTATATGGATGCCTCATGTTACGAAGTTTCCGTCAGTCACATGTCCAATGTCCTTGACCTCATTTTCATGGTTCAGTAACTACTTGAAAAAAAAGTTCAGATTTTTTGTAATGTTAAATTCTCTCTTATTATAAGTAATAGGATAACTATATTTGGTATGTGCGTACCTTGCAAGGTCCTCATCCCCGTCAGACAGTTTTCACTTGACCTCGACCTCATTTCATGGATCAGTGAACAAGGTTAAGTTTTCGTGGTCAAGTCCATATCTCAGATACTATAAGCAATAGGTCTAGTATATTCGGTGTATGGAAGGACTGTAAGGTGTACATGTCCAACTGGCAGGTGTCATCTGACCTTGACCTCATTTTCATGGTTCAGTGGTTATAGTTAAGTTTTTGTGTTTTGGTCTGTTTTTCTTATACTGTATGCAATAGGTCTACTATATTTGGTGTATGGAATGATTGTAAGGTGTACATGTCTAGCTGGCAGGTGTCATCTGACCTTGACCTCATTTTCATGGTTCAGTGGTCAAAGTTAAGTTTTTGAGTTTTGGTCTTTTTTTCTAATACTGCATGCAATAGGTCAGCTATATTTGGTGTATGGAATGATTGTAAGGTGTACATGTCTAGCTGGCAGGTGTCATCTTACCTTGACCTCATTTTCATGGTTCAGTGGTCAAAGTTAAGTTTTTGAGTTTTGGTCTTTTTTTCTAATACTATATGCAATAGTTCAACTATATTTGGTGTATGGAAATATTTTATGATCTATATGTCAGTCACGCAGGTTTTATTTGACCTTGACCTCATTTTCAAGGTTCATTGCTCAGTGTTAAGTTTTTGTGTTTTCGTCTGTTTTTCTTAAACTATAAGCAATAGGTCAACTATATTTGTTGTATGGAAGAATTGTTAGCTGTACATGCCTACCTAGCATGGTTCATCTGACCTTGATCTCATTTTCATGGTTCATTGGTCAATGTTTAGTTTACTTGGTTAATGTTAAGTTTATGTGACAGTTGTAATAAAGCTTTATATTTAGGACTATCAACATAATATCAATGATTAGTAAAGAAGGCGAGACATTTCAGTGTGTGCACTCTTGTTTAAATTTTAATTTATTGTCTAAAAGAAATGCACTACGAAATAACTGTGTTCTTGGGCCATTTTCTTGGTGCATTACTTACTGTAAGAATTGATTTGCAGATATACTGGCTTGGAGATGAATTTTAGTATAGCTTTTAATTTTAGAATTTGCAGAAGAAATGTTTGTTGTGGTTATAGAATTAATTTTAAATTAGGGAAACAGAACTGTACTCCAGTGGAGTTCCCATGTCTAGATGGAGAACAGTGTGTACCTAGAGCCCATATATGTGACCACTCCCATGATTGCCACGATGGCTCTGATGAAGATATATGTGGTAGGTATTATTGTATGACCTTGACCACTCCCATGATTGCCACCATGGCTCTGATGAAGATATATGTGGTAGGTATTATTGACTCTTCCTTTAATTGTATACCCAAATGTATAGCTCATTGTTGAAGGGCATACAGTTACCTATAGTTGCTTACATCGATACAGTTGACTTTTGACACTGATTGATAGTTGTTTATTTGGCATTCACATCACAATTACTTATTTTATAGGATTGTCATTTTGGTTTGATATTTGTGGTAGCTAGTTTTTGTAAAACACTTTACAATTGCATATGATCTATTTATCTTACGGTACTTGTGGTTTGACCAATCAGTGGCATAATTACTTGAATCTTGAACAAAATTTAAAAGGCTCTTACAGAACAATGCTAATGATACTTTTTGCTTTACAAATTATGACAGTAAGGGAGTTCTTTCGACATTTTTTTTTTCTGTTATTAAGAACAAATAGATTACAAGATAGAAGGATGTCAAAATAACTGAAGACTGAGAAAATTGAGAAAAAAATATTTTACACTGTGTATTTCATTTTAATTTCATGTTGTGTTTGATTTGAAATATACCAATTATTTTACATGAAATTAAAATTAAAACTTTATGTTGAAGAGCCATATTAGAAAAAATACCACTCAGACCACTATGTGAGAATCATATTTATAAAGATCTTAATGTATATTGTAGAGCCCACAGAGAGATGCAATAAACATCATGGGAGATATCTGTGTAAAAATAAACAACAGTGTATAAATATAAGTTTAGTGTGTAATGGTGAATCTGACTGTCGAGACCATTCAGACGAGGGAGGAAAATGTGGTATGTATCATTAAGTGCCAGTCTTTGTAAGAATCGGGCAATTTAGAAAAATTTCAAAACATGACCGAAAAAAAAAACCCACCGACTTAACCATCCTATTTTGAAATAACCCTCATCCTGAGTTAGAAATGGTAGGTCCAGGGCTTCCAAAAAATATTTGAGCCAGCCGGACATTTTATATCTTATCCCGATTTTAATCCCTTTAGACTTAGTAACAAAAGGCAATTATGGTAATCAGTTGGCCATCATATGCATATAATCAATGATTGACATTAAAACATTATTTATCTTTACTTTGATATAAATTCGATGTTCTGACGTAAACTGTTAAATTGAAAGTGCAATCATTCGAAGTGTGCAACATCGGCGTTCTTATTCTGCCTTAGACTCTTTATTTGTGGAAAATAACGTTGTCAAAAACTTTACTTTTGTTTTTAAAAAGCACATTTTCCTAATACCGGATGTTGACTTGACAATGGTAAATCACGGAGCAGAGACCGTGTACGTTTACAAAGCATGATTGAGTTAAGTAGCTCTTTCCAAGTTATTTCTTCAAGAAAATACTCAAAATGAACGTTAGATAAAGGTATCAATGATAATTTTTGCATTTTTGAAGAATTAGGATGCATAATTAAATTTCCCACCAGCGCACATGCGCACACGTGTACTAGTTCAAACAACTTGGTTCTGACGATTATTTGTTTAAAACCTTTTTAAATTTTTCATCAAATCATATTTATTAACGTATTTCTTATAATTTTAATCTTTTAGACTAAATTAATTAGATGCAAAATGCTGAAATGTAAGAAAATAACTTTTGAATACCCTTTAGCTTACCCCAGTATTTAACACGATGTACAGTGTTTAAATATAATAATGAATATCATACAAATTCATTTATAAATATTCTTATTTGAAGAATTATTTTAAAATCTCAGGATACTTTTTTTAAAACTGAATGCTCATTTAAAATAATATCTACAAAGCTTAATTAAATAGGATGTTGTTCCATACACGCTTACATGTTTGACCTCGTTTACCTGATCACCTTTATTGTTATGCATCATTAATTCTATTGATTAAGACAAGCTAAGGACACCTCATCAAAGGTAACAACCTGTAATCAGTGAATGATTTATGGCTTCAATATTACTTATTGAAGGGATAATTGTTTGACAGCTTATTGATTTTTAAATAAAAGAACACATGTTTTTCTACTTTGTATTGATGTACACAAGCTCAAGACCAAGCCGTACATTTATGTACCCAGAGGATTAGACTAACTGAGACACTTCAAAGTATCTGAAATATGCTGCATCTGTTTTATTAAACCCAATTATGACCAAAATATCTTTGTGAAATAGATTGCCACAATTATAGACTAAATTGCCCAAACGGGCATGTTCAAAGCTCCAAACGGACATTTTTATCGATCGATAGTGGGTAAAAATTGAAATGACCGTTTTATGAAAATGCCTTGAATAACAAAAAGTGGCAAACCAATTATATTTGACCGTTTGAGGCTGAGAGCAGCCGGACTTTTTAGGAAAGTTTCGGTCAAGTCCGGAATATATGACCGTTTTGGAAGCCTTGGGTAGGTCTTATGTTTCTGCTTGTCTGGTAATTCAAGAAATCTCTAGATAACTTTTGGTTAAAATGATAGCAAATTACGGAGTTAGCTCCCCTTAATTGTTAATTTCTAGGGCATTTCAACTAAATTATATCTTGAATTACCAGAACAGGAAATAGAAACGAATGTTATATTCGTGCACCACAATTTGAACATAAATTAATGTCAACTTGAGTGGGTTTTTGTTTGTCATGTTTTCACCACTGCCTGATTCTTAGGCAGATTGGCACTTAAAAAGAGTCTTATTCAGTCAGGATAAATTTTTAAGACTAAATGAATTCAGTTTTGTAGATTCAGAAATTTTTGCATACATTTATTGCAATTGAAGAACAATGGACACAAACGAGATATTAATTATTGCTATTTTCAGAAATGCTGCATACAAAAAATGCTAGCCAAATTTAAAATGTTAGTTTTGTGGGTCATGTCACCTGATTAGCAGGATGAAGGGTTCAAAATAGCAAAAGTGCTTGACTATTTTAAATGAATATCTGTTTAAATTATTCCATTTGCTTAATAAGCCTGTGAAAAAAACTAGGCAGATGCCTATGGAAAGGTCATGTGATATAACTTTTTCAACTTCCATTTTGAAATGTTCATCTTGAAACTCCTGAATTGATATTAATTCGCCATTTCAGAATCTAAAGGACTATGGGTAATCTCATTGTTCTCAAAATGAAAATATCGTAACGTTATTGGGTGAATTTCCATTGTTTAGAACGTTTTAAACCAATCACAACGTTTTGGTGTACGCTTTTGAAAATATTACCCAGAATGCATTAGATTCTGAAACAGTGAATTATGGCTTATGCATGAGGTTACTTTCGACACAAGTTTAAGATTACTGTAGATTCATTTATTTTATTGTACTAATTTTCATCAATACTTGATTTCGTAGTTTTGCCAAAGTTTACATACAAGCCTATAGGAAGTCTGTACTTCCATTGAACACTTAAATTTGTGGTTCATCTCAATCCACAAAATCAATGAAAATTGGTACCCCAGGAATAATAATGAATCCATAGTATTATACAACCAAAAAAGTCTTGCAGTCTTATAATCTTATGGTGTCATCTTTCTAACTGCTACATTGTCAAAAACTTTTTTCCTGATACTTCTCATATATCCATGCATTTATTTCAGCGGAGGCAAGAAGAAACTGTACATCTGTAGGCTATTGTGGTCATTCCTGTCTACCGACTCCAACAGGTACCGTGTGTCAGTGCAAGGAAGGGTTTTTGTTCCAGGGAAACACATGTCAAGGTATTTAATAAATCTTGAATCCTTATGGCTTATCAAAGTGCAAACAACAAAGAGAAATATATCTATGCACTTTCATTATTGCATCATCATTGTTGCATATTTTCTGCATATGGTATATCAATAGTAATACCTTTAAAAATGAAAAAAGTTATCTCTTTACTGTACACAACCTGAGGTTTTACTTCTTCATCTAACCAGCTTCGTTCAAATGTTCTTGATATCACCAGTTGTTAAAAATCTTCTTGCATCATGCAGGATGAAGAACAGCAATAAAAGCATTGCTCCTTTGATATATTGGTTGATTTTATGTAATAAATGACATTGATTTCTCATGTGTATCTGTTCCGGACCATATGCATATGGTCATGACCATATGCGTATACTCGTATGGTTGAACTATATGAGTATTATACTCGTTTGGTTATTAACAGGCCGGACCATACGAGTATTTAGACCATATAGGTATTTTTCGAATAATTCTATCTTTCTTTGCAGGAACACACAGCTCATTCTTTGAACAAAAAACTGCACAAGTTACTATCTGAATTCTTTTATCTTTTACATATTTTATAAATTCTGTTGTATCTGTTATCTTGCATTTGCTAAGAGTCAATTCAAATCGCCTTTATACTACCGATATTCGTGTGTAAGTGAAACCACATGCGTTTAGGGCATGGATTTTTTTCTGTTTTCTTAAAGTGTTGCATTTAAATCAATATTTAAGAAACAAAATTTATCTTATTTCTACTTATTTTTGAGATAATGTCATAAATTTTTGTAATAAAACTTTATATTTCAGAAGGTAAAAAAAGCTTAAAATTTGTATTTTGTATACAGATGCCTTATACTCTGAAGCTTCTATTGGTCATATATCCTTTGTCCTTGCAATTGACCTTGATTTTTTACATCAGAGGACCGTGAGGGCCTCGGGTGTATTGCCATCGCCTAAATTACCGCCTAATTTGCATATATATGCATATTTAATTAGTTTTGGAATGATAACCGACCTATAAAAATTATAGACCCGCGGACATTATATAGTGCAAAATAAAATTCCTTATCGCTTCTTTTAAATTCATGTTTTCAATGGATACTCAGATTTTTTTTTTTTTAATGCAAATTAATAATATGAAAATGTTTTGTCGTTAGAAATATTAGTATATTAATCAAACAATCTTCAATATCAATGACGTACCGAAAAATTGTTGTTGTGGATGAATACCACAAATGCGCATTCATCAAGAGGGCAAGAGCGAGCTTGAAGAAACACGAGAGAAAATTCACGCAATTATACACAGAAAGGTAATTATATTTCAATTATTTGATTTGGAGTAACCTTTTTTAAACCGTTTGTAGCATATTTGTCTATAATATTAACGTAGCAAAACCAGGAATATTTAATCTGACACAATATTAAAATAATTTATCAGGCCGCGTCCCCCGCAGCCATTTTGAAAATACCAGCAGATTGGGTAGGAGTAACAAGAACCTGCAAGGCCTTTAAAGATAAGTTTACTTTTTGTGTATTCTTTATTGCAACAATTTGTTTTTTTTAAAAGATCTCAACAATTTTTGGAGTTAAATTTCTTTTCTTCGTAAATAACAAGTAGATTGATCACTTGGACACACACGTGGAACTATTTTCTGTTTTTTAAGATACTGTTTCCGATTTTCGCTCCTTCTCCGACTTAGTTTGTTGCATTAGTATATGTGAATAAGAATTATGTCCCTTGACTGGAAAAAACGCGGATTTTGTAATGACTTTGACTATGTAAGTAATTCTAATATATAATTATTGGTTGAATTAATTGTATATATTATGTAATATTCAGAGAATCTTCGACTTCTTCTTCTTCCAATAGAGTTGGACTCTTTTTGAGTGTATAATGACTCTTGCTCGTAAAATCAAGAGTCTTACTTTACACTGAAATGTCAGAATTTGGGTAAATCACATTTACTGAATTACAATTAGTGGCGTTGTACGTACCATTTACTAGCCTATAGATATATTGGGAGAATCCTTACAGTTTTGGAGATATAAATATAGAGTAACTGTCCTGTTTTTTTAGTCTTCCTTGAAGTATTGTATTATTTTGACCATACATGACATGTATTGCCAAAATTATATGATAATTTGATGACATGTGCTAATCATACTCTACAGCATTATTTAAATTGTGTAACCATATCCATGTAAAATTTTAGTAATTTAAATTAGACATTTGTTCACGCACACATGAGTACTTGAATTGAGCAAATACAATCAGTTAACTTTATCTACGAACACCCATGAGATCTTAAATTGAGCAAATATGATTAGTTATATCTATGAGCACCCATGAGATCTTAAATTGAGCAAATATGATCAGTTACATGTATGAGTAAAATTTGAGCTAGATCTACTCAATTGAGTTAGATAAATGTATATCAATATTGAGACTAATCTAAATTGTTATTTGAGCACACATGAGCCTATTTATACTATTGAGAGCAATATTGGGATACTGTATGAGCAAACTTAGCAAATCTTTATTGAGACAAACCTATGAGCGCTATATAATATATGCATAGATATTGAATATCTATTTTAAATTTGAGCCTTGTCAGTTTAAGAGCATTAATAATGAGCAACTATCATCACTTTGCTTTATCAATTTTATTGACTATTTATGTATAGATGAGAAGTTCTATATTATAGTAAATATTAGTCGTGCAGATTGTTGTACATTGATCAAATGATATGTTGAGATTTATATATATCACTATTATACACGTAGGCATATTGATTAATAGTATTTGTTTATTATCAAAGTCTATATATTAACTACATGTATAGCTATACATTTGTAAAACATCGACAACGATAATACATACAATACATACATAAACACAAACTACATAGCTACGGGCTCTTGGAGAAAAATGCAATAACAGAATGAATGAAATATAATTCCAAACTTTACATCAGTGTTATGTGGGAGTTTCCACCAGGGGTCTGATATATTTTCTCCAATCTCTCGGGGTAAACAGTGTCTTGCTAACTCTCTAGTTTTTCTAACTTTATCAAAATTAGGAGACGTCAAACAGTGGTCAAGTGACATTTTAGATAAGGTTCTGTTTAGTGGTGATAATCTTTATAACTCAATTAAAAACAAAGGTTTAGCACACAACCTTTTGCTACCGACAGATCTACCAACTTACTTCTTTTATCAGAAAAAATATTTTTCTTTAACATTAAAAGAGACATATTCTGGATACATAGACAATTTTGTTGATTCTTATCCTTTTCTATCATTAGAAACATGTGTACAACTGCTAGTGAATTTTGTATGGTCATGGGAGAATTCGTTACAAAGCTAGTGTAGATATGATCTTAGTGGTGTTAGATTATGGAATTGCATTGAAAAAAATAGATGAGAGGGTTTATGTTTTTGACTCCCATAGCAGAAGCAATTATGGTTTGTGCATTGAAAATGGTAGTTCGATAATGGTTGAACTAAATAGAGATGTCTACAGCATATGTAGTTTTCTAAGGTCTTTAATTCGTTCCCTTACATGTGCAGATCTTGAAGAAATAGAATTTAACTGTCAGTTTTTATCAGTGACTGAAATAGAGCGTTACTATTTTTTTTCAAAAAAAGAACAAATTTATATATTGGATAATCATGATTACAACAGTACAGCATGTACAGGTCTAGGTAGTTTTGAAGATTCAATAATCGATAAAACGTATAAAAACCAGGGGTGGAAGAGAAAGTTGGAAAGTAACACAGAAGCATTAGACAACACTGTTCTGCAAGAAATTCCTTGTAAAGATTATGAAATAGTCAATCAGGAGCAACCTTATAACAATACATGCATAGCCATAGGGTCGAAGAAGTGTAAAATTGATAGTTTGGGTAATGCACATGACAAGATTGTAGACAATCAATCTGTAAAGCAAACATCATGTGATATCATAACAACTTTTAAGAAAGCTGTTAGTTGTGGTCCTGAATATGTATGTTGTTGTTGTATCCAGACATGGTTTAGGCATAATGTTTGTCGTGATAGCCCAGCTATTTTGAAAAATATTGATGAGTCTCTATTAACTTATAATGCTGAGTCGCAAGGTAAGCGGTGGCTGTGTTATTGTTGTTATGACAGTTTAGAACAAAAGAAAGTTCCAAGTTTATCATTTGCAAATGGGTTACTTTTCCCTGAAAGACCCCAAGACCTTGAACTTACATCATTAGAGGAACGCTTAGTAGCACCTCGAATTCCATTCATGGTCATATATGAAAAAGCAAGGGGAGGCCAATATGCAGTAAAAGGTAATGTTGTAAATGTGCCAGTTGATGTGAACAAAACAATTAGAGTTCTTCCACGTATGTTAAATGATTGTGAAACTATACCTGTGAAGCTGAAAAGAAAGCAAAGTTATAAGCACCATGTTTTATACCAAAATATAAGACCAAACAAGGTTCTCAATGCTGCCAGATATTTAGTATCTAATCGTACATTATTTAAAAATGAGGGTATAACAGTTGATGAATCATGGCTAGAAAATTACCAAACGGCACTAGTAAATAACCAGGATGACAATATTGACAATAAAAATACTAATACAGAACTAGAGAGTGAGAATAGCAGTGAAGTTCAAGATAAAAATCTTAATCAAGGCTTATTAAACAGTAGTTTTTCTGAAAATGGGGAACTAAATGCTAATACTACTTTTATCAAACAGATGATGAATTCTCAGAAGTAGATATGCATGACAAAGTAGACGGTAACCTTGATACTGTTATGCACCCTGCTGATTTTAGGGAATTTAATCAGATATTAAATTTGGCACCTGGTGAAGGCAACGTCCCATTAAGCTTGTATGAAGATAAAGATGCAGAGTATTTAGCCTTTCCTTCTGTTTATGCTGGAACATCGAGAGATTACAGTAAATTCAAAGTTCCAATTTATTATAGCCAGGTTGTTAAATGGGAATTAAGGAATATTGATAGAAGAGT